AAGAAATGCAGAGTATCAGTTCTTATGCACTGCACTTTTTCTTAATGAGATCTATCATCCTATGAAGTTTCAAGTCCATAACTTTTATACTTTCGGAGAAATGGCCTGGACAAAAATTAAGTATGAAAATTAACAAAGGGCCATAACTCAAGAATTAAGAAATGCAGAGTACCGGTTCTTGTGCACTGCACTTCTTCTTAATGAGATTTATCATCCTATGAGGTTTCAAGTCCATAGCTTTTACACTTAAGGAGAAATGGCCCGGACAAAATTAAAGTATGAAAATCAACAAAGGGCAATAACTCAAAAAATAAGAAATGCAGAGTACCTGTTCTTGTGCACTGCACTTCTTCTCAATGAAACCTATCATCCTATGAAGTTTCAAGTCCATGGCTTTTATACATTAGGAGAAATGGCCTGGACAAAAATAAAGTATGAAAATTAACAAAGGGCAATAACTCAAAAATTAGGAAGTGCAGAGTACCGGTTCTTGTGCACTGCACTTCTTCTTAATGAGATCTATCATCCTATGAAGTTTGAAGTCCATAGCTTTTTTAGTTGAAGAGAAATGGCCTGGACAAAATTAAAGTATGAAAATTAACAAAGGGCAATAACTCAAAAAGTAAGAACTGCAGAGTACCGGTCCTTGTGCACTGCACTTCGGTTATTGAAAGAAGCATGCATACCAAGTTTGAAGTCAATCAGACTTATAGTGACTGAGTTATGCTCCGGACAAGCTTTAGGGGACGCCGACAACAACGCCGACACAGACGCCGCCGCCGACAAAAGTAACCCCTATATGTCACCTTTTCAAGGTGACACAAAAACTGGACAGAGAGTCCAAATCATTCTTTTATAATACCTTACTATGCTATATTTGACTAAATCAAACATAGGAATCAAAGTTTCTAGCTATATACTTGCCAACTATTCAATATAAAACTCAAACAGCTTCAACAACTTAAATAACTGTATCATGCTCTAAATTCATATATTTTCTTCATTAACCATCAATTATAATTCACACTTAGTACTGAGTCATGCGCTAAGGCAATACACAAACATTAACAGGGTGGCCAATGATTAAGATATTATACTGCACATAACTTTTAACCTTGCACATGAATGTAATGTGAAATACAGTCAAGACTGTTTTAAGAGACCGACTTTGGGAATCAAGAAACATGAGGGCCCTGGATCGCTCACCTGAGAAATAGGTTAAACGGTCAAAGTGAAGCCCCTTTTCGCCCCAGAAGAAATAGCCAAAATTAAAACATCGTGAAAAAACACCAGATTTACAGTACATATTAGAACTAGAAATGTGTCCATAGGACACGGGTGCCCCCACCGCGCCATTGTTCTGTCAATCTTTTTACTAAGTCAAGGGAAATAACTCTACAAATACTGGATAAATCCACAAGCGAAACCCCAGGTGCAAATCTAAAATATGCTGAGCAACCTGCCTATAAGGTTTAATGACTATGTCAAATCCTTTTTGAGAAACTTGCGACAAGTTGAAAATTGCAAAAATTTTCTAAGTGAAGGGCAATAACTCTAAAAATACATAAATCATAAATCCAGACGAAAATACCTGGTGCACAACTGCACATGCTGATCAATATTCCTGTAAAGTTTCATGACTCTAGGTCAAATACTTTTTGAGTTACGTGCGACACATGTTGAAAATTGCCAAATTTTACTAAGTCAAGGGCAATAACTCTGAAAATACTGAAAATATCCAGACGACAATACCCAGGTGCACAACTACACATGCTGATCAACATTCCTGTAAAGTTTCATGACTCTAGGTCAAATACTTTTTGAGTTATGTGCGACACAAGTTGAAAATTGCAAAATTTTACTAAGTCAAGGGCAATAACTCTAAAAATACTAAAAATATCCAGACGAAAATACCCAGGTGCACAACTACACATGCTGATCAACATTCCTGTAAAGTTTCATGCGTCTATGTCAAATACTTTTTGAGTTACATGTGACACAAGTTGAAAATTGCAAAATTTTACTAAGTCAAGGGCAATAACTCTGAAAATACTAAAAATATGCAGACGAAAATACCCAGGTGCACAACTACACATGCTGATCAACATTCCTGTAAAGTTTCATGTCTGTAGGTTAAATACTTTTTGAGTTACATGCGACACAAGTTGAAAATTGCAAAATTTTACTAAGTCAAGGGCAATAACTCTGAAAATACTAAAAATATCCAGAGCAAAATACCCAGGTGCACAACTACACATGCTGATCAACATTCCTGTAAAGTTTCATGACTCTAGGTCAAATACTTTTTGAGTTACGTGCGACACAAAAGTGAACGGACGGACAGACGGACGGACGGACAAGGGTAAATCTAAATGCCCGCCACTAACGTGGGGGCACAAAAAGGGGTTTTATTTCAACAAACATAGTAGCTATTCACTAGAAGATGTTTCATGCTTAATATCTAATCAAAAGCACTTTCCAATTTGTCACAAGAATTTTTTTTAGTTTTTACTATATATATATATACTTGGTAGACATCCACTGGAAGGTGTTTCATGCCAAATATCTAAGCTCTACCTCTGTTGGATTTTTACCAGAAGATTTTTTAAGTTTTTACTATATACATTTAAAGAAAATCAATGACTCCTGGGGCAGGACCAATTTTGACTGTAGAGCATTAATTTGAACAAATTTGGTAGGCATCCACAAGAGATGTTTCATGCCAAATATTTTTAAATATATCTAAAACAATTTTTAAAGTTGACTACCAAAGGAACATTCCTGTGAAGTTTGGATGAAATAGGCTTAGCGGTTTGAGGAGATGTTGTTTAAAGTAAAAGTTTATGGACGGATGATGGACAAAAAGCGATCACAAAAGCTCACAATATCATTTTGTGACAGGTGAGCTAAAAAGGAAAGTTCATCATATATTATTCCTCAAGTCTTTTTTTCCATGCATTATCACTCCACAGGGAGTCTATACCGGAGCAGATTTTTTGTCATCTGGAAAAAATAGAAAAAGAATTAACTAAAAATATGTCCATAGGACATTTAATATGCTCCGACTTCATTTGCAGTCCCAGTGGCATATTTACATACATCATAAATGTCCAGTGTTAATATTAATAAATACAGAAGAACTTCTATAAGATTTTAAGACAAGAGGGCCATGATGGCCCAAGATCGCTCACCTGACCCATGAAACTCATCCAAACAATTACCTAGACAAGCATTCCAACCAAGTCTCATGACAGGTGAGTCAAAAATGTGACCACTACAGTGTTAACAAGGATTATCCATATTTGAGCAGTGTGACCTAGTTTTTTATCCAGGTGACCCATATTCAAACTTGACCTAGAAATCATCAAAACAAACTTTCAGACCAATTTCCAGGATACTTGGATCAAAACAGTAGCAACTAGAGTGTTAACAAGATTTTTCTATTTTTAGCTCCGGTGACCTAGTTTCACATGCGATTTCGAACTCATCCGAGCAATTACCTAGACAAACATCCTGACCAAGTTTGATGATAATTGAGTCGAAAATGTGACCACTAGAATGTTAACAAGGTTTTTCCATATTTGGGTGGTGTGACCTAGTTTTTCATCCAAGATGACCCATGTTTGAACTTGACTTAGAAATCATCAAACAAACTTTCAGACCAATTTACAGAATATTTGGATCACAACAGTAGCCACTAGAGTGTTAACAAGATTTTTTCTATTTTTAGCTCCTGTGACCTAGTTTTTCATCCGAGATGACCCATGTTCGATTAAATCCCAGCAATGACCTAGACAAGTTTCCTGACCAAGTTTGATGACAATCGAGTCAAAATTGTGACCACTAGAGTGTTAACAAGGTTTTTCTATTTTTAGCTCCTGTGACCTAGTTTTTCATCCGAGATGACCCATGTTTGAACTCATCCGAGCAAGTACCTAGACAAGCATCCTGATCAAGTTTGATGACACTTGTGTCAAAAATGTGACCGCTAGAGTGTTAACAAGGTTTTTCTATTTTTAGCTCTTGTGACCTAATTTTTCATCTGAGATGACCCATGTTCGAACTCATCCGAGCTATCACCTAGACAAGCATCCTGACTAAGTTTGATGATGATTGAGGCACAAATGTGACCCCTAGAGTGTTAACAAGGTTTTTCTATTTTTAGCTCTGGTGACCTTCTTTTTCATCCGATATGACCCATGTTCGAACTCATCCGAGCTATCACCTAGACAAGCATCCTGACTAAGTTTGATGATGATTGAGACAAAAATGTGACCGCTAGAGTGTTAACATGGTTTTTTCTATTTTTAGCTCCGGTGACCTACTTCTTCATCCGAGATGACCCATGTTCAAACTCATCCAAGCTATCACCTAGACAAGCATCCTGACCAAGTTTGTATGATGATTGAGGCAAAAATGTGACCGCTGGAGTGTTAACAAGGTTTTTCTATTTTTAGCTCCGGTGACCTAGTTTTTCATCCCAGATGACCCAAATTCAATCTCATCCGAGCTATCACCTAGACAAGCATCTTGACCAAGTTTGATGATGATTCATGCAAAAATGTGACCGCTAGAGTGTTAACAAGGTTTTTCTATTTTTAGTTCCGTTGACCTAGTTTTTCATCCGAGATGACCCATGTTTGTACTCATCCGAGCTATCACCTAGACAAACATCCTGACCAAGTTTGATGATGATTGAGGCAAAAATGTGACCTCTAGAGTCTGTTAACAAGGTTTTTCTATTTTTAGCTCTTGTGACCTAGTTTTTCATCCGAGATGACCCATGTTCAAACTCATCCGAGCTATCAACTAGATTAGCATCCTGACCAAGTTTGATGATGATTGAGGCAAAAATGCGACAGCTAGAGTGTTAACAACTAAATGTGAACGGATGACGGACAATGAGCATGCTCAGGTGAGCTAAAAACTACAACCCATATTCACTTAATCAAAACACTGTCTATATAGCAGTACAATTAATCTGTTAATTGAGTACATACCTGTCTTAACATCAAGAAAATGTCTAACAAACCCTCCACTGTCTAGTTGTCTAATCAGATCTTTTCTCCTTAATTCTTCAAGCTGTTCCATCACCACACTTTCCTCCGCAAAATCTATCCTGTAATAAAATTGTTCAAAAATTTACTTGGGATTAGTTAACCCATGACCTGCAGGAATTGAAGGTGATTGGCCTTTGCCATCAACTTAGAGTCATGTCTGCCTGCATGTCCATGCAATATGACTAGGTTTTGTGTTGTTGGTTGCTCAATTTTTGTAATTTGATACAGAAATCTCTTAAACTTTGAATGGACTATTTCAATTTCAAAGCATGGCAAATCTATTTCACTAATTCTTCAGGTCAAGGGATATGGACTACTATTCTGTATTATCATTCTGCCAGTACCCCGGTATTAAAATAGTGAGCATTTTCTTAAAATTCTGTTTCTTTCTTCTAGGACTGCAGAGTTTACATAGACACATCTAAGAGGTATCAAATCATTTTTCAAGTACCTGATAAGATCTTTAACTGACAAAATGTTGGGATAAACTGATTCTAGTACATGTAGCAACTTCTCACACACAATTTCTTCCCATGGCCTCAAATCTTGCTTTGTGATACCTGAAAAAATATCATTACACATTAAAACACTAACTGTATACAATTTGTTTAACCTGTCACATCAAGAATGAAACAGTAGAAATTGTAGACAAGTCTATAACTCTGTCATCTGATTGGCTGACATTCAGCCTAAGGAGGAATTTCAACCAATGGTTGCATTGTATTCGAAGACTGGTTTCCTTACACAGTTAATTTATAATATTGTGACATGCAATATAACTTTGAACATAGTTAAATCATCTGTTTTGTTATAGCATCTTTCAATTCACATTGTACAAATATTTTCAATCATTAAAACACAATAACAACACAATAAAGGTCAGATATTACAGCTAAATGAGAACACACATTAATTTACAATTTAACTTATCATGAACACAAACACAATAATTTACAATTTAACTTAAGGTGACAACGGAGTCAATTATCACTGAAAATACCTAAAATGAGATTTTTTGCTTAGTAGATTTATCAACCTTTTCTGAACACATTCGTGATTTAATTTTGGAAGTAGTTAGTCCAAAAAATGTGTTTTTAAACATTTTAAAACGGTACCTGTACCATTTTTATCTGCTATTCGCGTAACCTGTCAATTATCGATAACGCTCCGCCCCCTGTTGAGGCATCAATGAGGGAAATCGGTAGTTCCATATATGCGTGAATTACCGGTCCATACTGGTCCATACTACCCGTAATTCATGTATCGTACAAATACCGTACATCTTTTATGAATATCGTCTACCTTTTATTTAGCCTTTTTTTTATAACATAAGAAATTGTCGGCCAATGTACGTAACATAATGTATGAAACATAAATATATAGCGGCAAATCGCACGACCACGTGGTTGATGCTAAAATATCCATAATGTGTTAAAATAATTTGTCTGTCCCGTTAATCTGATAGATATTACATTGAGTTTATGGACTTTTGTACGTATTCAAGGGCTTGCTTTACATTCATCCTCGTTTTCTAACAATGTCAAGTAAAACAACAACAAAACAGACAACATTTTTTATGTGAACGCCTATATATGACTTGTGGTAATTTAAGGTGTCCCTGACAAATTTCTAAACCATTTTAGATTGTCTAAGGATGATTATTTCTCTATGAATCAATAAAAAAGATAATAAAATACGAGTATATTATCAGTGAATGCTCTGAATAAATTGTTCGCCAGTAAATCGAACACAGTACTAATAAACCTGGAACAAATTATGGAATTTATTGTATATCCCAGTAGAAACTGGATCTCTATGCCGTGCATAGATGATTTTCATGATCATAAAAGTCAAGAAGGTCAGATCATAATGATCGAGTGATACCTTTTATTTCTATTAAAATATGTTAAGCATTTGTATCAATTTGGAGGAAAAAATATATATAATATCCCTTTCTAATTTGGAGGAAAAAATATATATAATATCCCGTTCTAGCGTGGACTTTAAAAGACCGTCAGAAGCTCAGTTTTTTGTTATTTTAATTTATATTTTAACGGAATTTCATACACGAATACACAGACAGAGTGACACTGGTGTAATATAATAATAATGCCGATGATAATAATAATAATAATAAACTTCAAAAGTGAAACAATTAAATACCCCACTACGTTCCATTTCCCCCCACCGAGTGCCTCAAATTTTACCGAAAGTCACGTGACATGTGCGACCGATATCAGACGGAAGGTAAATCACGTTGAGATTTGAAGATATTTCTGTTATAAATTGATATTAATCAGCAACTTTTTAATTGGTCAGATGTCACTGGGTCATAAAATGTTGTTAGAGTATGTTACCGCAACTTGTGACCCTCTCTGGTGCGATATTTGTGTATTATGCAATTATTTAGCGTGAAACGTAGGGGTCCGAGAGAGAACAGCCGATTTATGACACTTCGTTTGATGCGGGTCGGACTAACTTTGAATCGGCATAACTTTTTTAATAATCAAGCAATTAACATGCGGTTTAAAGCACATGAAAGGGAATTCATTTACGGAGGGAACCGTGTCAGGGATTTTTGTTTGCTCAATCAGCGACTTAATTATCTTTAATTACGTAATATGTATGGTGAAAAAAAGTCGCATAAAATGTTTGACGTTACGTAATATTTTTTTGAGAAAAGATAAAAAAAATTTGAGACACGGTTCCCCAGATATTATAAATATGTTCATTTTCCAAAAGTTTGATGACAAAAAAATAAAAAATAACTTTGATATGACGATTTAAAATTTTAGGATTTTTATTAAAATTCAATCATTTACAAAGGCATTATTTTCAAATTTGTTATTTTTTATGATGATCAACGACATTTAATGCACAAAGATTAAATAAATAACAATTATTACTAATATAAGTTGGTTTAAATGACATTTATGTGAGTACCACGGAAAGTGTCTGTTGTCACCTTAATGCAAACACAATACTTTCAATATATACCATTTTTTTTTACATTTTGACATGACAAAGAAGTTCTTTTTTCTGACTGGCAAATCCCTTAACCTTTCCCATACAAATCATGCACCTTTAACTAATATTTACAGTATGTATATCTAAATGTAGCACTATTCACAACTTCCCTATAGAGGACCATAACAGTCTATTGCCTTGCATTATCATTTAATTCAATTCAATTTAATTTAATTCAATTTCATTTAAACAGAAAAGTATATTCATAATGGAGGAAAAACAATACAAAATTTCACAATTACAACATTAAACAAGAGGGCCATGATGTCCCTAAGGTCGCTCACCTGTATATAGGCCCCCGAAGCGGGCCAGTTTAAACCCCAGGGCTTTCAATTTACAGAATATTTGGATCACAACAGTAGCCACTAGAGTGTTAACAAGATTTTTCTATTTTTAGCTCCTGTGACCTAGTTTTTCATCCGAGATGACCCATGTTCAATTAAATCCCAGCAATGAATCATGAAAAACTAATTGTACCTAAACCAAAAACAGAGTGTTTTAGGAAAACACTTAATTACTCTGGGCCTACAATATGGAATGACATTCCAATACATGTTAGAAATTCTGAAACTTTGAAAAAATTTCAAGCCAACTATATTCATTGGCAATTTTCCATTTAAATTATATATGTCATTTTTCCATTTTTATTGTGTACATAGCTTGCTAAATATGATACCAGGATGACTAACTGTGTTGTTTTTTAACATTAGTTGTATTTTTCAATATTGAAGTTTTTGAAAATGCCACAAAGTGTAAAAAAAAATAAAAAATAACAGTTTATTTCTTAAATGATGTTTTGTAAATGTTGACTGTATATAATTTATGTCACATTGTATTTATATGTTGTTATGTTACATTGTATGTATATGCTGAGGCCCACATGGAAGATCGGGAAACCGAATGTGCTAGCCTCATTAAATAAAGTCGTTACTTACTTACTTACTTACTAATGACCTAGACAAGTTTCCTGACCAAGTTTGATGACAATCGAGTCAAAATTGTAACCACTAGAGTGTTAACAAGGTTAACTATGTTTAGCTCCTGTGACCTAGTTTTTCATCCGATATGACCCATGTTCAAACTCATCCGAGCTATCACCTAGACAAGCATCCTGACTAAGCTTGATGATGATTGAGACAAAAATGTGACCGCTAGAGTGTTAACATGGTTTTTCTATTTTTAGCTCTTGTGACCTAGTTCTTCATCCGAGATGACCCATGTTCAAACTCATCCAAGCTATCACCTAGACAAGCATCCTGACCAAGTTTGATGATGATTGAGGCAAAAATGTGACCGCTAGAGTGTTAACATGGTTTTTCTATTTTTAGCTCTTGTGACCTAGTTTTTCATCCCAGATGACCCATATTCGAACTCATCCGAGCTATCACCTAGACAAGCATCTTGACCAAGTTTGATGATGATTCATGCAAAAATGTGACCGCTAGAGTGTTAACTAGGTTTTTCTATTTTTAGCTCCGGTGACCTACTTTTTCATCCGAGATGAGCCATGTTCGTACTCATCCAAGCTATCACCTAGACAAACATCCTGACCAAGTTTGATGATGATTGAGGCAAAATTGTGACCGCTAGAGTGTTAACAAGGTTTTTCTATTTTTAGCTCTTGTGACCTAGTTTTTCATCCGAGATGACCCATGTTCAAACTCATCGGAGCTATCAACTAGATAAGCATCCTGACCAAGTTTGATGATGATTGAGGCAAAAATGTGACTGCTGGAGTGTTAACAATGTTTTTCTATTTTTAGCTCCGTTGACCTAGTTTTTCATCCGAGATGACCCATGTTCAAACTCATCCGAGCTATCACCTAGACAAACATCCTGACCACGTTTGATGATGATTGAGGCAAAAATGTGACCTCTAGAGTGTTAACAAGGTTTTTCTATTTTTAGCTCTTGTGATCTAGTTTTTCATCCGAGATGACCCATGTTCGAACTCATCCGAGCTATCAACTAGATTAGCATCCTGACCAAGTTTGATGATGATTGAGGCAAAAATGCGACAGCTAGAGTGTTAACAACTAAATGTGAACGAATGACGGACAATCATCGATCCTAAAAGCTCACCCTGAGCATGCTCAGGTGAGCTAAAAACTACAACCCATATTCACTTAATCTAAACACTGTCTATATAGCAGTACAATTAATCTGTTAATTGAGTACATACATGTCTTAACATCAAGAAGATGTCTAACAAACCCTCCACTGTCTAGTTGTCTAATCAGATCTTTTCTCCTTAATTCTTCAAGCTGTTCCATCACCAAACTTTCCTCCGCATCAACTTTCCTGTAATAAAATTGTTTAAAAATTTACTTGGGATTAGTTAACCCATGCCCTGGGAATTAAAGGTGTTTTGGTTTTTTTCCCAATAAACAAAGGGTCTGTCTGCCTGCATGTCCATGAAATATGACTGGGTTTTTGTGTTTTTTGGTTTGCCCCAAATTTTGAAATTTGATACAAAAAATTTCTTAAACTTTGGGGACTTTTTCAATTTAAAAGCTTTGGAAAATCTATTTCA